CCCCCGACCAGCACACCTGCGAGCCCGACTGCTGGGGGGTTTCATCTCTACATCTGAAGCCCAAGCCGAGGGTCCTGCTTTCCTGCTTGACCCCTGTTCTTACCCAGCATCCGGCCGCATCTTCCTGGGCTCTGCACGCCACACGCGTGCGTCGTCCTACGGCAGGGAGAGACACGGTCCCCTTTCCTCCATCCTCCCGGTTACGCTGCGGGAGGGGGGAAGCGGCCGCTGGCAGATCCGCGGCAGCGAGAAGCCGGGTGCATGGCTCCAGCCTTTTGACCAGAGCGGGTGACGCTGCTGTCCCCAGGAGCTGGCGCAGGGGGACGGCTGCCGGGTTTATTTACTCCTCAGGCTCTCGTGGATAAAATCCCCAACATACATCTTGGCAAAGAGCTCACAGCAGCCGCAGAGGGGATCGTTAGGAACTCTCTGGGTCTGGCAGAGGTTTGGGTCCTGTCCCCCCCCCCGACTGACGGTGCAAAGGTTGTTAACCTGCCCCTGCTCAGCGCTGGTGGGAACAGGGGAATTCTCTCTGTGCTGAGCCAGGGGTGGGAAAGAAGCCCCAGGAGTGTGCCGAGGGATGTCTGATGGAGCGCCAGGCTCCGGGATTCATTCTGCTTGGGCTGGGCACCCTTAGAGCATCGCTTCAATGATAGAATTTAAGGCAGTTGAACGCGTGAGGGCTGTAACCAAAGCAAATCTCTAACCGTGCTCATGCTTTTGAGGTTCATGAGGGGAATTCTGGTCCTTTAAAGGTTGCTTCCTTCGTGTGCATCCCTTGACAAAATGTCAGGCAGCAAACTTCAACGTTGTTCAAGTAAATCAAAGGTACGTGAGAAGGCAGTTAAACCTTCTCAGCAACGTCTCGTCATTCCCGTCCCACTCCCTGAACTGCTCCTGGCATTGCAGGCCTGTGCTTGATTCGCTGGTGCTTGTCACTAACAGGTTTCCCTCTAAAACTGTTTTTTTTTTCTTCACCTCTGCGGCCTTCAGCACCAAGGTTCAAGCCACTCCCCCAGAGAATGAGAAACACCGTGTTTGTGTATAAATTTTATTCTGAAAACAAAACTCAGCACACTGCTTTGACAAGAGAAAAAAGACTAGGCAAGATACAGAATAAAAGAAGAAAAAAAGAGGCACCGCCTTTTTGCTTCTTAGCCTGGGACCTGTCTCTATGTGTACAACATGGAAGGATGCCTCGGGAAACCAGGGAGGGAACAGGCTTCCCCTCTAGGGATACCGACCTCTTTCTTTTTAAACACAAACCAGCCCAGCAGCAACGTTCAGCTGGGAGAGCTGCAGCCTCAGCTCAGCTTGTCCTTGGTTTTTAAGAGCAGGCCAGAACGCTGCTGGAATCAGAATTATTATTTTTTTTTTTAAACAAAGAAAAGTGACTACAATAAGGGAAGGAAGAAGCTCTACCCAATTCTCATTAAAGGCAGAAGTCACCTCTTTATTTCAAGTCTCCTTCCCAACGCCAGCCTGCCTTCCACTCACATCTCCCTGGGTTCTCCTTCAGCCTCTTGAACCCACCTCTCTTTGGATGGATTGCAGCGGGGAGAAAGCTCTTCACCACTTGTCCCCAGCTCACCCGCCGTTCAACGTTTTATTTCTTAAACCAGCAAGGGTGTTTGAGATCAGCTCCTCCCTTTAACTCCACAGCCTGGGTGTCACCTCCGGTCCCTGTACCCTCCTCATCAAAAAAATCTCAAACCGATGAACGCTGCTGCTGGATGCAACTCCCCGCTCCCTCACCCCCCAGCCCCCCCACACCGCGGTTCTTTCAGCTCTTTTCCCTCCCAGCCTCAAACGTTACTACTGCTGCGCAGGAAGACTTCTGCTTCTCTAGCCTAGCCTTGTCGGGAAGCACTGCAGCAGCATCCTTTCCTAGCACTACCACGCAGGACAGAAAGACGGCCGTCTCGTTAGCCTAAAACTCCTGGTTGAGCATAAAAACCAGTCACAGGGGTTTGCGGTCGGCCAGTCCGGCTATTTCCCCTTTTTGGTCTTTGCGGCCGCGGCATTGTTGGTCTTGGCTTTCTTCTTGGCCGACCCCTTGGTCTCTGGCTCTTTGCGCTTGGCTGACGTGATGGAGCCCGTCACCTTGAAGAAGTCGTCCAGCCGGCCCTGCGTGCTGCCCTGCCGGCTCTTGCTCAGCCTCTTCACTCCGTTGCGGATCCGCTCTTCGTTGAACTGCTTCTCCCCGCACATGAACCGCACGAGCTCCTCTTCGTTCGGCTCGGTCCACTTCAGCTCTACAGCGTCGGGGTCGACCACATCAGGCTCTAAAAAGAGTTTCTGGGCCTCTTTGTGCAACCAGTTCTCAGGCAGAGGGTATTTCTTGGTGTCTATCTGCTGAATGATCTTCTCAATGGTTTTGTGCTCCCTGATGAGCTCGATGGCACGCTTGGGCCCAATGCCACGGATGCTCTCGCAGTAATCACAGCCCAGGAGGATACACAGATCCACAAACTGCTCCCAGGTCAGGTCGAGATCCTGCAGAATACGGTTCAGGTGAAACTCCTGGATGGGCAGCTTCTTTGTCTCACTGGCAGTCAGATGCCGCATCAGCACGGGGCTGCCGAAGGTCAGGCAATCCATATCTTCCGTGGCAGCCGCGTAGACCTTCCCAGCCTTCACCAGGGCGGCGCAGCTGGCTTCAGCCTCCCCCGGTGCATCCACGTAGGGGATGCCCATCAGCCTCAGTAACTTCTTGCACTCATCGGTGTGCTGCTGGGTCACTTTGACCAGCCTCTTGCTGTACTTCTCGATGTTGTTCTCCTCCCCAGCCTCCTGAGCCTCCTGCAGGTGTTTCTCGGCCTCGGCCCGGCGCTCAGTCCTCTTCGCCAGCTCCCCCGATTTCAGCTGCGGGGGTTTGCCGTCAAAGACGTAAACTGGCTTGATGCCATTCTCCACCATGCGGATGGTCCGGTAGAACATGCCCATCAGGTGGCTCGTGGTCTCACCCTCCTCGTTCTGAAGGACTTCAGCTCCCTGCCGCACGGCGATCAGGAACTGGTAGATGCTCATGGAGGCATCTATAGCCACCTTCCGGCCGAAGTAAGCCTTGATGTCGTTCTCCCGGATGGCGCCAGGA